AAATTAGAATAATCTACATAAATTTTATTTTCAAAAAATTTACCGAAGAAATTTTTTTAGCTAAAATCACTATTTATTAATCTCGAGCTAAATTTTAAGCTGTAACCATTGTAGGAGTTTGCAGTTTGAGGCTTAAATTTTTAAGCTTTATCCCAAGGATTAGAGATGGTCTAACAATCGACTTCAGAAAAAATAGTTTATGTATATACGCCATTCTCTCATCCACATCAAGTATATAATAAAATAATGGACTGACATTAGCCGTTTCCTAAGACATTTATTAAATAATTTAAACATTTATGCTTGTGTGTTTTGTGTGCTCGAAGAGGTATAGCTAGGTTACATTACACACGCCTACTGGGATATATCTGGAATCCAACGTTAGTTTTAATTTGATGAAAACGTTGAGGTACCGAGAACCCCAATTGTTTTTAACTGAAACTGTGATTATGCGACGCGAGTTTGATATCTATTGTAATTGTTAGTCCTTCAGATCAATTTTGAGATTTAGGGTTACCATCTAATTCAATCATGTCTTTGTGGTGGGATTGAATATTTTGGAACAAATTTCTGTTTCCATTTAGTTTCCCGTTTGGTTTCAATTTTCCTATCAATACTTTTGGGGATTGAGAAGAGAGAAAAAAAAAAAAAAAGCGACGTAATTCTTTTAGTTGTATCTTCTCGGAATTAAAATTTTATCTGATAACGACTACAGAGGTACTTTCAGTCGCTCTTTAAAAAAAAAAAAAAAGTAAGGGTAGAGGATATGTGTACTATTTTTCTTCAGCTTCTTGTTCTTCTTGGCACTCCTTGGAATGGAATATAGTCTATATAGATGCTAGCTATAGTCTAGAGAGATCATCTTGCTCTATATAAATTTTCACAACCATTGCATATATAATAGCATAGCACGAATGGTTGATATGACCTGACAAACTAACTCTGGATTATGTTCTGAATGAAAATACCCCTGTCCCTTCTTTATTTTTTATGGCAGCTGACCCTCTTTAACAGGCCTGATCATCGGCACTTGGTCTTTACATTAGACGCCTAAAACGTGTTGTGGTATTGAGCTGAATGTTGGTTTGTTGATGAATGGTTCGGTTCACCCAAGAATGATTCAACTTCTACGGGTCGTCACATGATTAATAAAGGTCCATAACTATGTATTATTCAGATAAATAATAATACACATATGATTGTATGCAAATTGGTTGTAATCGGAGACACTCTCTGTAATGAATGCTCTTTTTTCGTCAAAAACAAAACGTGGAATTGGAACCTTTTAAGGTTTAATGCAAGTGGTTGGCACTTTGTGGTGGGGACATTTGGAGCCAACTCAATACAATACAATACCGACCTCTCTTTCTCTCTACCTGAACATGTCGAATCAAGAAGGTTCCATAAGTTCATCTTTGGCAGCGGCTAATGGCGTCCGCATCCTCACTGTCCCTCCACCCCTACATGGGAATTTGAGGTTCCAAAAGCTAAGCAAGGAAGCCAACAACACCAATAAGCAAATTTGACGTACCCAAAACAAGAAAAATGTTTTGGTATGGTAAACAAAATAAACGCTTAGAATGTAATACTAAGGGGGCAGAGGAGTTCGAACACCTCATAACCAAATTTTAGTTTCGCTCAAATTTCATTGGCCTAAACCACAAGGCACGGAGTTCAAACACCTCATAACCAAACTTTAGTTTCGCTCAATCTACATTAGCTTATAAGTGACAAATCTCTTTTTTTTTTTTAACAAACGATATTATCTACACGAAAGGCATAGAGGAGTGACCCAAGCCTCACAATGGCTAGTAATAATGTGGTTCGACAAATTCTCTTCTCAACGAATATGATAAATTTGACACGTTTTTAAAACCTTATATTTAGTCAACAAACTAAACAAAAGGATGCAATAGAGCACAAGGCATAGAGGAGTGACCCAAGCCTCGCAATGGCTAGTAATAATTTGGTTCGACAAATTCTCTTCTCAACGAATATGATAAATTTGATACGTTTTTAAAACCTTATATTTAGTCAACAAACTAAACAAACAGATGCAATAGAGCACAAGATGGAGGACAAGAGTTTATTATATTAAGCGATATATGAGAACTAAACAAATGAATACAACAGAGCACAAGATGAAGGAAAATAATTTATTTCCCGAATAAATATATTAAGCGATACTTGAGAAGCAAAAAACATATTGCTTCTTATGATCCTACGTTTTTTGCTTCTCAAGTATCGCTTAATATATTTATTCGGGAAATAAATTATTTTCCTTCATCTTGTGCTCTGTTGTATTCATTTGTTTAGTTCTCATATATCGCTTAATATAATAAACTCTTGTCCTCCACCTTGTGCTCTATTGCATCCGTTTGTTTAGTTTGTTGACTAAATATAAGGTATTGCTTCTTATGATCCTACGTTTTTTGCTTCTCAAGTATCGCTTAATATATTTATTCGGGAAATAAATTATTTTCCTTCATCTTGTGCTCTGTTGTATTCATTTGTTTAGTTCTCATATATCGCTTAATATAATAAACTCTTGTCCTCCATCTTGTGCTCTATTGCATCCGTTTGTTTAGTTTGTTGACTAAATATAAGGTTTTAAAAACGTATCAAATTTATCATATTCGTTGAGAAGAGAATTTGTCGAACCACATTATTACTAGCCATTGCGAGGCTTGGGTCACTCCTCTATGCCTTTAGTGTACATAATATCGTTTGTTAAAAAAAAAGAAAAAAAAAAAAGAGATTTGTCACTTATAAGCTAATGTAGATTGAGCGAAACTAAAGTTTGGTTATGAGGTGTTTGAACTCCGTGCCTTGTGGTTTAGGCCAATGAAATTTGAGCGAAACTAAAATTTGGTTATGAGGTGTTCGAACTCCCTTGCCCCCTTAGTATTACATTCTAAGCGTTTATTTAGTTTACCATACCAAAACATTTTTCTTGTTTTGGGTACGTCAAATTTGCTTATTGGTGTTGTTGGCTTCCTTGCTTAGCTTTTGGAACCTCAAATTCCCATGTAGGGGTGGAGGGACAGTGAGGATGCGGACGCCATTAGCCGCTGCCAAAGATGAACTTATGGAACCTTCTTGATTCGACATGTTCAGGTAGAGAGAAAGAGATGTCGGTATTGTATTGTATTGAGTTGGCTCCAAATGTCCCCACCACAAAGTGCCAACCACTTGCATTAAACCTTAAAAGGTTCCAATTCCACGTTTTGTTTTTGACCAAAAAAAGAGCATTCATTACAGAGAGTGTCTCCGATTACAACCAATTTCCATACAATCAAATGTGTATTATTATTTATCTAAATAATACATAGTTATGGACCTTTATTAATCATGTGACGACCCGTAGAAGTTGAATCATTCTTGGGTGAAACGAAGCAACTCATGGCTGTTGCTCACCCTTAAAGGCCAGACATTATAGAGAGGCCAAGGTTGAGCAGCAGCCTTGAGTTGCTTCGACATTTGGTGGTTGTCTGGTTGGACAGTCACTCGAACGAGGTGCTTTGGGTGGGACGCCGAAATGTCAAAGCTCCACCTTAACATTTGGTGTTTGGGCCGTAGCTGGGGCACCGCCTCCGCCTCGTATAGTAACCTTGAATTTTTTAAAAAGGTGAGCGATGCTACTGGCGGAGCGGAACGCCATTCTGGGCTGGTTAAGACAAAAAGGATGTGACGTGAGAGGGAATGATGTGAGAGAGATGTGACCGTAAAGGATATTTTTATAAGCATAATTTTTTTTGGTCGAAGTGGAAATATATTTTGTCACGTCAATTGTGTGGAAATATTCTATGTCGAGTAAGACAAAATTCGAAAATTTGGGTTTTTTTTTTTCATTGATTCCCTTTCATGGTCCATGGTAAGTAGATCAATCAAATCCCCCATTTGAGATCCTATGGTCATAGAAAATACCCGAATAGTTATAGTCATGGTATTTATACAAAAAATAATACTAAGGAGACTAAATTTTAAAATCAAATTTACGAACTAAATGATGTGCCAATAATACACATAATTAATATTCTAATTATCTACAACCACATCATTTGATTTACAAATTTTACTAAAAACCAACTCCTCATTTTTATTATAATTGCGGTGGATTAGTAAATTACATGCATGTTTCTTGAAAATCACTAAACATTACAACAATGTCTAGTCTAATAGTGGTTCGCAATCGAGCTCAGGCAAGTTACGAGTAGAATAGATGTGGTGGTGTATAAGAAAATAAAAAATCTATACGTACATTACGTGCATCCACATACCATCGTGTGGGTTTACACGAGAAAGTTTGTCAATCTTTTTGTTTTCGAGTTTTCGAATGAATTCTTTAGACATACTAGTCAAAATGCAAACTTGTAGAAATGAAAAGAAAAGATTAATGCAAGATTTTATTATACCCTGGACAAGTGTGACAAACTTGTGTAATTAGTCTTATACATGAATATATGATAGCAAAATCTTTTGGAAAACCGAAAAAATTAACACAACTCGCACTATAAGGTTTTCTGTTACATCAAATATTATATTCTTTGATTCACTTTGTTGTACCCTTAAGATGCCCTCACAAATGTTGTTTTCGGGGATTCGATGGGAGCTCATCCGGCCACTCATTTTAAATTTGATCTTGCTTAACTAATATTAAGCTTAAAATAATCTCACTTGATTAATTGAGTAACAAACAAAAGCCAAATTATACACATACGCACTAGCTAATATTTTACTTTAATTTTCATATTGGATGTAATATTTTTTACTTTAATTCTCATATAGGATGTCATTAACTTATGACATCCTAGAATAAGTCTCATGTATTGATTATCGAGAGTTTGACCGATGAATTTCAAATTGGTCATGCATTAATTAATTGCTACTCGAGAAAGTAACGAAGATCCCTTTCTTACATTTGTTTTTGTCTTATTTATGCTCCTACCTTGCCCTTCGGTTTTGGACCTAAGAGGTGAATTTGTTTTATTACAATTGCAATTACAATTGCAACCGCCATTTAAACTTGTTCATGCATTGCAAAAGTGGGTTTACACGAAGAAGGTTTGTCGTGTGAAAGAGGTAGATTTGTCTTATTACAGTAGCAACTTTTTTACCTTGATTACGGTAAAGACAAAGAAAAGGTCGTCATAAATTCAAAATTCTAAAAAAATAACAGTTGGTGTCATTCTATGTGCTTCTCCCACGATCAACAACCCTCTAGCTGAAGAAAATTTTCGGGGTTGAGCTAGTATTCCCAGCCCATAAAAACTTGACACTTATTAGTCTAAAAACTCTTTTTGGTTTTGAGTATATATATATACACACACATACACGTATTGCATGTCAATTTAAATTTGATCCTACTTAACTAACATTAAGCCTAAACTAATCTCACTTGATTACTTGAGGAACAAACAAGGGCCAATTATACACATACGCACTAGCTAATATTTTTCTTTAATTCTCATATCGGATGTAATATTCAATACCAACAGCCCCTAAATCCTAAAATGTACTTATTTTCACTTATATAATGACATGTGGTGTAACACTCGTACTCTGGTCGCAATGCAAATTTTCTACATGCATCATGTACTCATGACATCCTATAATAAGTTTCATTCATTGATTATCAAGAGTTTTGCCGACGAAGTTCAAATTTGGCCATGCGTTATTAGCTTGAGACAAAGTAACGGTGACGACCAACTAATGAAAACGTCCATTCAGACCGTGGAAGTTATAAACAGAATTGAAGACAAACTGATCTGCAAGTCTTTGAGCTCAAAGTGGCCACGGGAAGGCCAATTTGGAGGAGGAACACAGCCTACAATCTTCCATGCTGCTTCTGAAGGAATGTTTGTGAACTGTTATATCCTCTCAACCGACACCATCCTATTTTCAACGAAGCAGCTAAAATATATGGCCCCCAGAACAGCACACCATTAAGGGACAGTCCGTAGGAGACAGTTAAACCAACATTCTCTGCACCATAAAGGAAAAACCGGTTTAGTCATATCTGTGCAATAAACAATCATCCACTGTCACTCATTTATGTTAGATATATCAAAACACGATGCTAACACTCCTCAAATCTTGCTTATAGCCGAGACTCGATCAGACATTATAATAATAATGAACTAAAACAAGAAGGATCGGGAAGGTTTAAATACCTGGCTTTATAATACTGCTTGGCAACAAGATCATGAACATAGTGGAAATGCAGAAAGGTAAACTCCCAAGCATCTCCAATCGGAAACCCAACCACTCATTGGACCCATTGTTGTGGAAATCCATATGCAAGTTGGCATTAACTCGTTTAACGTTTTCCTTGGAGAACATGTTTTGCATTCTGAAAGAGCGAATCATCATGACCCCTTATATGCTTTCTGAGAAATGATGGATTACAGGAGCTTTCGTGATTGAATCGAGTCGAGTTAACTCTTGAGATGATGCAAGAAAGTAACCCTAAAATAGAATAAGTACAAAAGTCTTCAGCATTGGGTGCAACATTATAGTTACAGGTTATCGATAAATATTAACACCGTAACAAAATGAGCGAACATACCCGATACCAGACTTTAAGCCTAGCAAGCGGAATCAGCAAGAATACAGTAAAGAACATGGCAATGGTAATTCCCAAATTCGTCTGATCAGTTGATGCCTGATGGACAGAAAATTCTTCACCAGTTAACAAATAGAACAGTATATACATGAAGTTAGAGTAAACAGATAACAGATGTCTCATCAAGTATGACAAAAGTTTACCCTTCTCAGAATTCTTCCAGAATTGGTGTAGTATTGAAAAACGACATGGGGGCATGCAGGATGCTGTGAAGAATTTGCTTGAAAAATGTTTGAGCTGTTTTAAGCCCCACAAACATCACAGCAAGTGCTCTGATAAATACCACAACAAATGCGACACATGCAATAAGCCCATAGAAGATGATAAACACAGATGGTTTGAATGATGCTGCACGCTTTGCTGCAGTTTCATAAGACAGCCAGTAATCACCCGCCATTTGAGATGCTTGCCACATCAGAGTCAATGACAACACTACCACCACACCCCACCATCCGTAAGCATCTGTGCAATAAACTTTGAAAATGTGAAAGCTAACTTTGCCGGTTTCTTTCTCCTCTTCTTAAATAAGCTTAGAAGTTGCTTTATCAGACTTCGGTTGGTCCAAAGAGTTGTTTTCACCATTTGCTTCCCCACGTTTTGAAAAGAGTTGCCGAGATATTTGAGGTCCGGGGGAACTTTTGCTGGGATCAGCAATGCTCATTTCTACAAGTTCCATGGAGGTATCGTGGGCAGCAACAAGCTCTTTGAAATCCAGGCCAGAATTTAGCAAATCGTTATACTTTCCTGCCTATACTATCATCCCATCTCTCATGACCTGATATATATATATATATATAAGTAGGAGGGATACATGAGTAAATTGCATCTATAATTTCTTTGAGAATACATGAACAATTCTCAAGTACTTACCAAAATAAGATCAACGTTATGCAAGAAGTCAACTTGATGGGTTACAGGTAAAACCGTCTTGTTTGTAAGCGCTCCCCTCACACATTCCTGCAGAAAGCCATAGACATTACAATATAAGTGCCATTTTAGATTCCAAAGATCTAAACAAGACTCTTGTTTTTTCGTTCTCTTTCAACACCTTTGGATTACGAAGATCAAATACGTCATCTAAGCACCAATTTAAGTATGAGCTAGACTATTGAACCACTGTGAAATCAAAAGTAAATCATTATTTACTACCAAATGTAGAAGAAAATCTAAATTAATGTCAACTTAAATCCTAGTTCATGTTCACATGTCCAATTCTACACGTGGACAAGTTGAAGGGATGTGTAGCAACTCTGAGTGGAAACCAGTGGAGAAAGATTTATACATGAAGGGACGACAGATATTTGGGAGAAATTTGGGAGGAACAGGCAGTCATTTTTTAATTCAAAATCACGGATTTTCATTTCACCATTCTGTATCTTTGTACTTAATTGGTAACTTGTGTTCTACAGTTGCCTCATAGCGAGGAACTTGCTCTCAGGCTGGAGGACTTGCATGGAGGTGTCTAGTTGCATGCATAATTGGTAATTCTGGAGCTTCAATGCCCAACACTGTGGTTGGACCATCTTCATTTATGGAAGACAATGTGAAAGCTGATATCGATCAGACAGTAAGCATCATAGAACTTATCCTCCCTATTTCTTTTTGAAATGCCTACCAATTTCCTTTTGAGTATTGTTCACACAATTTAACAATAACAATAGAAGATTGAATACATTTTCTTTAGTTAAAGCCATGATGTGTTAACACGGTACCATGTAATCTGAATGGCAAACTTAAATAGAAAGTGCAGTACAAACTGGAAAATCCAATTACTTAAGAAGAACAGCAGCCTCAGCTCTTGCTTGTACAGATTCGGAATCTGAGAACAGCTTTCCCTAAAAAGAATAATTTGGAAAATCATAAGTATCCCCACAGTACACACACCCAGTTGCAGTCAGTAAGTTATTCAGCATAAAATTGTGATATTAAACATTTAACTTTAAAAACATCTCAGATGGTGAATGTCCATTCTTCTGTCAAAGTATGCTTAAGAAAGTACTGTAATACGACACGGGTAAACATTAAATGGATAATAAGCAATACCTTTGATAGCTAGTGAAAAATTTCATGCCTAGATTCATAACGTTTACTTCAGACACATGCCTCACAGCAAGCCCAAGAGCTCATTGTAGGACGACATATGCATCATATTACTGAAACGTTGTATTCATCCAAAGGGAATGTTACCCACACAAAAGAATTAAGGGCAGTACCTCAATGTTACATCTTAAAACTAATCCTGTGTCAGAGATATATGCACAATACCTAACAGACTGCATAATCATTTACCAACATTGATGGTAATACTTCCACCAAAAACTGCATTTAACGCCAATCCATGTATTAAAGCAAATAGAGTTCTAGATTATATGTTTACCCCGAGTGAGAAACATTGCAAGGAAGTGAGGATAAGACATCTACTTGTTTCTGGTTAGGTATGGGTGGAGAGAAAAACCAGCCTCACCGTAGTATAAAATGGAAAGAAAGAGAAAGAAAAAAAAGGATAAACCTGCAAATTCTTGATAATTATGGTCACTGCTTCTTCAGATACTCGCTTACAATCCTGGAATGAGGAGTCTCCATATATCTAATAGTGGAGAGCCCAACCACAAAGAAACAAGACACGGTGTAAATAAAATTCCACACAAAGGTAAAAACTGGTCCCAAATGCAGAAGTTCATAGGAGAGAGAAATTACCTTAAAAATTGGCATTGCTCCTGTATAAAACTTGACCGCATCAGCATATGCTTCTGATTTGAGCAGCCACTAATTCCATTTTTTTCGCCTCTACAAACTTCGCTAAGACGTAAATAACATAAATTTCACGACACAGCCTTCCAATCCAACCCTAAATCTGCCCTAATTACTACCAGTGAATCAGTAACCCAGTAACCATTACGATCGTCTCAAGATTAAATAAACAAACCAGCTGAATCGGTCATGTATTTGGTAAAAGATAAGAGTTGGAGATCGTACAAGGAGATGCATGTACTGGTCAGGATCGAAGGAGGTGGAGTCGATGGCGTCGAGAGTGGCGTACTTGGACTGCAAGAAAGGTCAGGGGAGTAGAAGCTGGAAGGATCAGACATGGTAAAAGGGACTGCAAGAAAGTAAATGCAGGAAATGGAAAAGGAAATCAAAGGAAATTCATATCTTTATTCATACTTCTTTTCCATCATAAAAGGAGGTTTAAATACATCTAAAGATATCTAGAGTTTGAGGTATAGATGGGCCAAATAGTATTATAATGGGCCTAATAGATAGTAATGACAATAGATGGTCTAACTAGTCATAACCGAAATCCAAGTAGCTTAGAGTTGCATCAGAAGCTCGACAGCAGATCCCTCATCCTCTTCGCCTTATCTTTCAGCGGCACGTCGTCTACCTCCATTTCTACTCTACTTCTTCAACCTTCAGTCTCTGTGTGTGTTGATTGAATCTTGATCCATGATTTGGCGCTGATGGAATGTGATCGGAATTTTGTTACATAGATAACAGTTATGATTTTGCTAAACGACGACGTAGTGCCAGTCTGGGCTAAAGCATCGCTCGGCCCATAAAATAAAAAAGTCAATTGTATATTAAAGCCCAGTCAGCCCATAATGTTTTACATTGCAGTAAACGATGTGTCACAACATCGTATAAGTGGTAAAATTGATTAATTTTGACGTTGTCTTCACCTCGTTGGTTTAGACAGTGACCATGTTCAATTGTTCATGTATAAAATATTAATAATTGCTTTTAACTTTCCAAGGAAGCAAAAGTTGTTTTAACTTACCTTCACGACATTTTTGGAAAAAACCAACCCAATGGTTTTAAAAAAGAATTTCTTCAAGTACAATCTAATTACGAATTTGGCTCGTAATCTTCACTAGATTAATATTTCAAGAGATTTTTTTCAGTACTCGACGACGATGAATTTCTTTCTTTTTCATCAATTAATTTGCAACAAATTTAGTAACACAACTAAGATTGGGATTAAGAAATGAACATTTTGTTCCTTCGAAGGTTAAGATCCTTTTTGTTGGGTCTGGCCTATCCCCTTTACCGAATTTGTTAACATTAATTTTATTGACCAAGAGAAACCTGCATGCATGAAGACAAATAAAAGGCTTCATATTATAAGGGTTAGAGTGGCCTAATCTTTGTGCACCACTAAAATTTATCACTTCGCTGATTGAAATAGGAGAAAAGGAATAAGAAAAGTGTTTTAGATAAACAATAAGTGATATAAAAATTTTATTCTTACTATTTATTTGTACAATTTTTTTAATAAAGATGAAATCTATATGAGTTGGCAGATCATACCCTCTATTAAATAGATAGTACAAATATATGGTAAGTGTAGCATTACTTTAAGAGATAACGTCCATATATTTTTTGAATCATCTAACAATTTTTTTTTTTTAAAATCTATTAAATTGAAAACTTGTTAGTTATTCATATATATTTAGCAAATGGATAAGAGCACACTTAATATGAATTATCATTTTCTTTAACTTATATGAATGCCTAAACATAATATCAATTGTAAGTGGTCAAATATCTTAGTAGATAAAATACACTATGAAATCTCTCAAATTCCCTCTAATTTCTCAACTTTTAAAAAAAATTTAAAACCAAATTCTAACTGATATATCTGAAATGTTATAAACTTCTTTAAATTTCTGATTGAAAACACTCAAACTTCATGAGAATTACTTAAAATTATGATTAAATGCCTCATAATATTTGTAAAAAAACATATACAACCTGGTGGATAAGGTTTTTCTCTTTATTTGGAATAAGAGAAACTATCCATAGAAGAATATTTTCCATTTTGGTAAAAAAAATAAAAAATATTTCCATTTTCTTTGTCTAGGTTAATTTTTAAGCAATCGTTTGTTTGAAATAAAATATAGAGTAAATAGAGAGAAGAGAGAGCGATTGGGAGGAGAAATATTATATTGAGAACAAACCAAATTAGCAAATTGCACTTCAGAAGGATCTTCGTCGGATTCTTTTTGTGAAGATTCTAGATATCCTCCAATCACATCTATTTATCGTATATAGTGTGGTCAGAAATTATTGTAAATTTTTTTTATTTAAAATTAATATAAAAAGTACCTGAGAAAAATTAATCGTAAAATGTACGATAAACAGATGTAATTAAAGAATCTTTGAAATCCTATCCTTAAAAAATAAGGATCGAGCGAGAAACCCTCTCAATCGTATTAGCTGTCATCGCCATTCACGCCAGCCATGACTCACCAAATTAGCATTTAGCACTCGTAATTATAATTAAACGATGATTATTTTATAATTTTCCACACACCAACCCCTCCCATCTTCCGCTATAAAACCCCCGTTCCCACACAATGTTCAACCTTCTTTTTCCTTCCATCTCATTTCCCGCCGCGCCTTTGCGTTTCAGATAAGTCCTCCTTCCCCTCTTTTCTCTCTCTAGATTTTCATTTCCGCTTGCTTGTCTCCGCCCCTTCTATTTTCCTCCCGATCCGGAATTTCTGATCGGTTTCTAGATCTGAGGTCCAAATTTGTGGCTTTCTTTGTTGAGGTTTTTAGGGTTTCTTGGAATCCAATTCGATCGGATATGATTTGGGGCCTGGAAGTTCTGGGTTCGTAGAAATTTAAACCAATGGTTTTTATATGAAACTCATGTTTCGTATCCGTCTGCTCCACTCGTTCTCCGTCGTCTTCCTCTACTGGTTCTACGATTTCTCATGAATTAATCGCATCAATTCGTTGCCTCCAATTCCAATTCCCAAACCCAATTTTATTGTTCCCCAATTCTTTCGAACCATAATCGAATTTCGGTAACAAACATCGTTTCCTAATTTTTGCAATCAATTCTTGGGATAAATTACCCGAGGAAAGGATACAATGTCTTCGCTTCAGCGCCAATCAAGCTCAGGATCCGACGGGTCCGCGACGGTGGACGAGAAGAAGAGGAAGAGGATGCTGTCCAACCGCGAATCCGCGAGGCGATCGCGGATGAAGAAGCAGAAGCAGATGGATGATCTGACGACTGAGATCACCAGACTGGAGATGTCGAACAATCAGGTTCGGCAGACACTCGATGCCAGGGAGCGCAGCTACAATGAGATAGAGTCTGCGAACAACGTGCTGAGAGCTCAAGCAATGGAGCTCACTGATCGACTGCAGTCATTGAACTCGGTCCTCCATATCTTTGAAGAGGTCAGCGGCTTCTCGGTCGACATCCCCGAGATGCATGATCCTCTGCTTAAGCCATGGCAGCTCCCCTTCTCGCAGCCCATCCCGGCCTCCTCCGACATGTTCTTCATTTGATGATGATCTTCATCGCTTTTGTTTGCTAGTCTTTTGGTGGTGTTTTTGGTATCTTTCGACTTCGATTTTAGTTGTTTTTGTGTCTTTAATTAATAATTGTTGTGGTCAGTGTCTTTGAACAAGCTTGTTTCATCGTGGATTAGCAGTACATTTGGGTTTGCTGTTGGAACCTGGAACCCAACACCGAACTGTGTACAATGTTGTCCCTTCCGTATAAATGAAATGTTTATGTGGTTGTTGTTAGCTATGAAATGTTTATGCGGTTGTTGTTAGCTATGAAATGTTTATGAGGTGGTTGTTAGCTATGAAATGTGTGGAATGTGCAGAGTTGCTCTTTTTAATTTGGTAACTGAAATTGTTTCCAAATGCTAAGCCTCCATAGAGTTTGATGCTCTCTTTTTAAGACGATATTTCAAACTACTCGATTGATTCAAACTCCGGTGATACAAACTTCTTGCATTTGAATTTAACGGGCACATCCTATCAATCAAGGTTGATACGACTAATTGGCCTAACTCCCAGAATATGATTCTTTCTTCACCAAAAACCCCTTCACTTCCTTTCCCTCCTCTCACACTACTGAATCGGAACAGTTCAAACATGAAGAGACTGGGATGGAGGAATTTGGAGTGGAGAAAATTCTACTTCAATTTCCGTCTGCCCCATTGGAATTTATTGTTTATACTATTTGGCCTAACTGACATTTGATTGTTTAGTCTAATTGGCCTATCTGACATCCTAACTGACTTTAGACTAATTGGCCCACTTGACATTTTAACTAACATCTAATGTTTAGACTAATTGGCCTAATTAACGTATGCTCATCGATTGATTTTTAAGTGCAGAGCTTCCAGAATTATAAGATCAAATCACTTTATCCTTCATTTTAATATTGTAGTTAACGTGTGTTTACACTTTAATAGAAGCATTTCTAGTTTTTAAATATTTTTCAAATGGCAAATGAATTAAGCAACCTTTGAATCATACGGGATAAACGCGTACCACCCGATTAACTCATGGATTCATTTCCAAATTTAATGAATTTCCCATCGGGCTTGGACAAATCCCCAAGCAAAAGCAACAGAAAACTGAAAACGGAGGTGAGTTGTCCCACAACTTCCACATGCTATGTGTGATGTACCAATAACCTACTGGTCCATGCTTTGCGCACGAACAATTGGTCTAGTTGCACCAAATATCTATTTGGCCAGGTGTTAGACTATCTTCAGTGGGGACACTAGATGGAGTGTGGGCTCTGCAGATCATGTACTGCATATATATATATATATATATTTTTTACATTTGAAAAAAAATCAACAGTCTATATTTAACTCGGGTTTTATTTTTCTTCTCTTTGTTGGAGATCAACTAAGAAATTACATAAACCTCAAATTTACGATTCTGGTGGCAAGAGTCCTAAATAGAGATTCCTATTGTAGATGCTTTTAGGTTTTGTTCATTCACACATGTGAAAACGTGATATTATATGTGTTTCGAATGAGTTTGAGACTAGATTGTCAATAATTGTGGCTTGTTGTAAGGAACTATCGAATACATCTCCAAGTCATGCTTACACGCAATATGAATAGGAACACTCTTGATTATTAATTTTACGTGTTTGCTAAACTATGAGAATAACAATCATTTCAGTTCCTAATTTTCCCTACATGTAGAATCAGATTATTATGGATATTCCTTTAAAATCCATAACCAAATACGTAAAAATTAAAAATTGGATAGACTTGATACCATACAATCAATAATCCAATCAACTCGAAGACTAATGTTCCGGTTTCTTTTCCTTACTTTTCATATTCAAAGTTTCCCTATTCCTTTCTTGTCCCCATCCTTTTGATAACACCTCCACTAGTTAATTGATAATTGACAAGATCAACACATGAAATATAATTAAAAGTTAAAACGCCTATCCTATCCACAAATGAAATATGAGATTTAAATAGTAAAAAAGAAACGCAAGCTTTCTTTATAATATTTGGAAGCCAATAAACAGTCACCAATTTATGTTTCAAAGGTATACGATAACATGCTGCGGTATCATATCATCATGCAAAATAAATATAAAAACGACCCAAATTAAGTTTAGTCGATCTTAATTAACATAAACAGAGACAGTACTATGAAATCTAAAACACGACAACTTCAAAGGTAGGCTGATTGAGATCCACCGATCAGTTGTCGTAAGTACGGCACTCGTCGGTTTCGGGGTTGTCCTTACAGAAAGTCTCCAAGGGGTCGGAACTTTTCTCGTTGTCGCGTTTGTGGCTGACGGCAGCGCTCAGCTCCTCCACCTCGTCCCATGCCGCTACGCACTCCCCGCTTGCCGGGTCGTCCGAGCAGGTCTCCTCGGCGCTCTTGATGCTTTCCGCCACTTTTTCGGACAGTTTATCTGGTGCTGCGCTCACTGGCCTTACAATGGTCATGCGGCGGCCAACGGAAGAGTAGCTTCTCCAGGTGGGAACGTTGAGTGAGTGAAATGCCCTCGGTACCTCTGTTGCTTTCGACAACACTGACCTTGGGGTGGAGAGGCTCACTCCGGCGACTGTGGTGCTGGATGCCATTTCTCCTTCTCTCTTTCTTTCTGGTTTTCGAAGTGGTGAGGTTTGAGAGAATGGTGAGGTGATAACGAGCATGAGGGTTTAATTGGTGTTTCCAATGTTTTACGATCGCACACTTCTTATGTTTTACGATCGCAAACTTCTTATCATATGAAGGCCAATCATCTACTTCCACGTCAAAACACTTCAGATATTTTAGGGGAAAAAATCACACTTTTGAACAAGGAAGACGTGCCCAAACGTATACGTTTGTAACCAACAGTTTCGTCGTTTTACTGCATGTACGATTGAGAGCTTGATATTTTGGAGCTAAAGTATAAGTAATACGTAACTTTGTATAATTTAAGTATTTAAGATCGTTTATATGTTTTGAAGTATTAAGAAAAACCATAATAATTTATAGTTTAAATGGTTAAGAGCGTTTGTCATTTCATATGTTTCCAAAGGTTTTAATCATCAAAACAATAAATAAAGGAGGATAATTTTAGTTTAAACTTTTAAGAGTGTTTATTTCTACACTTTCGAAGTTTTGAATTATAAAGTAAATTTAAGAGTAAATTATATTTTACCACCTCAACTTTGGATCATATAACAACTTTACACCTTATCTTTTAAATATTACAATGTTGTACATCAATTTACAAATTTGTTGCAATGTAAGACTTTTGTAAATTTTTCTGTTAAATGCTGATATAACAGATGCAAAGGTCACCTTCTTGTCCAACTAGATTGATGTGCAACCCAAATTATGTGTTTATTTCTGCACTTTAGAAGAAGTTTGTGTTTGAAGTATAATATCAGGAGGATGATTCTCTACCCTCCTATTCTCATCCCCTTCCATCCCCTCCTCTCACACATTATTTTTTGTCTTATTATCTCTATAAAAAAATCAATATAAGATGTTGACATGGCTTAACTGTGACCGTCCAAATAGAAGGACATGGAAGGATAGAGAATCCTCCTCCATAATATCATTGCTTGTACATATAAATTCTAAAATAAATAAAAGTCATTTACCACCTCAATAAAGATGTATCAGCCAAGTTTTGTGTTTGAGTTCTCGTATAGCACCATGATGAATGACGAATTGACGATGCCAAGTTGCCAACAGCAAAGTTTGTTAACCATTTAAAACTCCTATCGCTAAAAGTCAAGGAAGCACACGCCTAATTCCAGCTAACCAGAATATATGTAATATAGTAGAATTATCCATCGGCGGACAAATATTAACAAGCTTTAGAGGAATCCCCCGTTTTACAGATCTTATCTGAATCATACGCGTAAGCGTGTCTTGTTTACTTCATTGTTTAGTTTTCTGTAAAAACATGTGCGACAACATTCAGCTGTCTAAAAATCTTTGACTGAGTTAGATAAGAGATTCTGCTCTGACTCACCGTGTCCCATATTCGAACTCTCATTCCTCCTTTTTAGTCTAGCTTGAGTAAAAATATTACTTGTGAGAAGCTATACCACATGGGCTCGTCGATTGGAGGAAAAGGTTGGTCACTGGCATACGATGCGTCCAGAGACTTCCCAAATGCACGCAAATGCCCAGCTTGAATATTTACATAAAGATAAATGAAAACCAACTTCAACTAGACAACCACACATGCTTGAAAGAATACGAAGCATAAACCAATAGTTTTCATTTTCGTATGATGCATCGTGACTTCACGATTAACAGTAATGCATACAGTGACATTTATGCAGTAATCGCGCAAATAAACTATGGGAAACATCTGGAATTCCAAGCACCTAGAAACGAGAAGCTTATTACTGACCAGCTGATGGATTAGTCAACAGTTCAAGCGATTTTATCAAGTGATCTACTGCAACTGATACGTCATCAAATGCCAATGCTCCAACTGCAAATCTTGCGGCCTTATGTGCCTCGGCAATTTTCTCAGGTGATGGCTGGTAGCTACTGTCATACTGGTATGTCTTGGCAGGGGGAGGAGCAGGAGTAGGTTCTGAAACAGTCCCATTTCTGTTGCTCGTCTGGTATTGGGCAGTTGAAGGGTGGTCTGTTGTCGAAGGAGCTGACTGGGGAGAGTAGGAAGGATCAGAGCCCTGATAATAAGAGGGATAGTGGGATGAAACTGCTGGAATATTGGTTTCTGTAAAACTTGGATACGATTGGAAATTAGGATAGGGGTAATTAGATTCATGAGGAGGATAGTTAGGTGGCAAAGGCTGTTGGGGTTCGTGCGAGTAGGATTGCCGGTGGTATGGCTGAGAAAAATCAGACGTTTCTGGTCTATTTGTAGGAGGAGGTGGCTGAAAATCATGGGAAGAGTAACCAGCAGTAGGGTAAGACTGAGGTGGCGGTGACGCATTGTTAGTAGAATGCTGGCCATTGACTTCATCATGAAACTTAGGTGGTGACTGAAGGCTAGTAGAACGCTGGAATTTAGCGTCATCATGAAACTCATAAGGTGTAATGTTTGAAGAATGCTGATCCTGAAACTGTGGTGGTGCACTTTTTATAGAATGCTGCCTGTTGACTTCATCATGAAACTGGGGTGAACGGTCAGACTGTGATCCAGGACTGGTAACTGCAGCATCGCTTGGGCCAAGATCCTGCAAGGATAGAAATAGTTGAAGACCATCGTATACAATAAACAAAACCACTAACACAAACACACTTTCCTTTCTTAATACATACTACAATTCTTTAACATATACTCTTTTACTCAAATGAAAAGTGGCTAGGTAGGTAACATCAAACACCTCTCCACCACCATAATCTTATGCCTAAAAATAATAAATTAAGAAATGTTATCGTTATATATTCAAAGATATCTTGGTCCATCAAAAAGCTCAAAAGTAAATTACTCTAAGTTTAGAACCATACATATGAACCACTCATTCCACTAGATGGAAGTGAGAGATCATCATCACCAGCAGGGGGGCCTGCTTGAGGCTTCCTTCCTTCTTTCAAAGCTTTCCTTATATCTGCTGCTTTCCAAGCTGCATACTTTTGTTTTTGCTCAAGCTGTAAAAGATCATAAAGATGTAAGCCACCCCCAAAATCCAACTGTATAAACTTCAAGTTAGTAATAACATACTGAAAAGAAAAATGTACAACACAAATCATTTAAATGGCGTCGTCTAATCCTAACAAAAAGGATAATGACACTTCAAGCGGCATTGCAAAACAGAATTAGAAACTCACATCAGGCTGAACCACGCCGAATTGGTTAAGAATCTCAAAGAAAATGCTTGCAGCATAGAATGTTTTTGCAGTAGTCCTGCAACAAGATCAAAGAATAAATTCTGTATCACATACTATTAACAACTTCCACAAAATATAAAATATTGTCAAGAGACATGAGCCGAGAAACACACAGGACAGGAGGAACTCTTCACTGCATGAAAACTAGTGGTGTAGAGTTCAAAAGTTGAACTTTTTGAGAGAAAAAAAAATTGATATGGACATGATAACTCAAAGTCTCAAGGGACATATTGACATACAAATCTGCTCGACCAGCACTGATCTTGCTTTTCTGCCTTGCCAAAAACATTTAAGGCAAATCCCTCAAGATACAGATTGTCTTCAGGCCCCAACTGCAGTGACTTCTTATCCTATAGAGCAAAAGTGTGAGCATACATTAAGATGAGGGAACAGAAATCTACGAATAATATCACAAAATAATTTCTCAAAAACAGCAACAGGACAAGTCATCAGGTAAAAATTCAAGACCAATCATGGGAGATATTCAAGACACTTAAGCACAACAATCAAATTTGCATTTTCCCCCAAAAGTGACCATCTTTGGTCCCTAAAGTGTAATATCAGAGTCTCCATGGATGAACCTCCAATTATATGGTTATAATCATAAGTAAGGCCAAGATTCTTAGCAGTGAATTGGTAAGCAGTAGACAAATGCTCTTGCTGTTTAAAATTCAACCACTACTTCATCACTAAAGAAACCAAATACTAAAATTTGCAAGGGCATCTGACGGGGCAGAAACATATCATAGATTCAGTTGCAAAACGGATACCAAAAATTAATTTCGCCACCAACGCTAGGCAACGGGTAATCCTACTGTTGCAGAGAGCCTCAGTGCTAGAGCAACTACAAATCAGACTAAATTAAAATTTACATATCCAATATGAAGTTAAAAAGGCTAAATTTTCATCATTATATTCCTCAGAAACTAATTTAGACCCAGCTGATGAAACAAATTAAAAAAAAATCCCATCTTTATTCCTAAACAGAAAAACGTTAACCAGAAACAGTTAAAAAGGAAGAAAGAAAGGACCTTTTCAAGCTGCTTCATGAGGGAAATGAGGAGGGAATTCGTGGTCTTAGTGCGCTCGTTCTGCGGGATCTTCAGCCCTCTCTCCATTGCGTATAATCGACCTAATTTCGATTCAAAATTTGAAAAAAGTTTAAATCAATTTAAATTAAAATCAGTAAGAACTCATGAGCATCGAATTTTCAGAAATATTTGTAGAGATAACAAATAATTCGTAAAGTTTCAATCTTGTTGAGAGAGAGAGAGAGAGAGAGAGAGAGAGGAGAGAGTTACAGTAATAAGCGACAAGAGGCTCGTGTTTCTGCAACTCATCGGCGCGCTGGAGATACGGCAACAGCAGCTTCGCCGGCTCGTTTTCGCTCGCCATCTATGCCTTCCTTCTTCCTCCGTTCGATCGATCGACAGAGAGATACGATTTGGGCGAGGTTAAAAAGCTTTGAGTACCAAGGCAGAGAGAGAGAGTCACTCTACAACGGGTCTGATCGTCTGAGAAAAGTGTCGTGTGAGTTGTGACGGTCCAGTAAGACGTCGTCGTCAATGCCGAGGGAGAAAGCAAGTGATTACGCGGGTTAGTCGGTTCATAAAACCCAACGGGCCGCCTTATTGTCCAAATTTAATGAGCCATGAAGTATACGGCCCACAATACTTTGAATCTCAAAGCTTTTCAATGGGGCCCCACCCAATCCCACTTGTCCAGTTTCAATTGAGGAATTCAGATCTCCCCATCAGACCGTCGAGAGATCATCGAAAAAGAGAGAGATTTGGCTTGTTCAAAGACTTAAGTTTAGATGTCGTGTTCAAAGACCTAGGAGGGGGTAATGAATTGAGAATACGAGAGACTTTAATAAATTTATAAATTTTTATAGAGTTTAATTGATTTGTAGAGATTTCATATAAAATTTTGATTCAATTCTTTGAAATCTCATAAGAAGATATGAGATTTGTGAATGCTTAATATACATTACGAAATCTCTCTAATTCCCTCTAATTCATCAACTTTATCAAATTCTTTAAAATCAATTTCTAATTGAATACACTTGAAATACTATAAACTTCTTTAAAATCCTAATTAAATACATTTGAATTTCTAAGGATTTTAATAAACATCTTAAAATTCTAAATACACCTTGAATTTCAGATAATCATTTAAAATTTTGATTAAATATTTCTAAATTCATTAAAAAAATTAAAATTCTTCAAAATCTCAATTGAATGACACTCTTGTTGATTTTATACGTCATGAATAGTAAGATGTACAACGAGCGCCACAACTTTAAATGAAATGATTCGAATTCTTGGATGCGTCAGCTTCGAACATAAAGGTTCGTGGAGGAACTGAATTTTCGATTGAGCTCTGTAGTTGTCTGTACATATTACGTGGCAAAGTAACGTAATTTTATGGCCGCACCGATCAGAACTTTTCCCAAAAAGAATAAAAATGAATGTCGACAGGATGCTCCAGAAAGTCTATCATCTTGTCTCCCTCACGTCTCCTCACTCTCTCCCTTTCAAGCCCCTCCACTTCCCATCGGTCCTTTCACTCTCCCACCTCAGACCAAGGCGCTCCCCATACGATTCCGTAAGGTCCATCAGAACATCCACCGCCGTCATGGCCACCTCTCGCCTCCGCAACCTCGTCCCCGCCAACAATTTCGCTTCCGAGGATGCCAGCGGTGGCGGAGCCTCCAAAGGCTCTGTCTCTTCCACCGCTGCTACTACTGCACTTGATGATGAAGGTATTCAATCACAACACACACGCATATACATACACATACACATATATTTTGTGCTCGTTTGTAGAATTTGTTGATATGGAGTTGCATAATCTGTTTGAACTTTGAACCAAAAATCCGAGTTGAATTTTGAAAATTTTGATTTTCTTTCCTTTTTTCACAACTTACTATTTGGCTGTTTAATGGGGTTGCATTGAGTTGTGGAATTTTAAATTCGAAGATTTCTGTGCTGGTAATTCGTATGTGTATATATATGTTTATGCAGAAGATGCAACTCTGGCAGTTAGATACCGTCTTCCTCCGCAAGAAATTAAAGATATTGTGGATGCTCCGCCACTTCCCGCCTTGTCATTCTCGCCGTATAGAGATAAGATACTGTTTCTTAAGCGGAGAGCTTTGCCGCCATTGACAGAACTTGCAAGACCTGAGGAAAAGCTTGCCGGTGTTCGTATTGATGGAAAATGCAATACAAGGACCAGGATGTCGTTTTACTCGGGTATTGGGATCCATCAATTATTGCCCAATGGCACCCTTGGTCCCGAAATAGAGGTGCGTGGATTCCCTGATGGTGCCAAGATCAATTTTGTTACTTGGTCCCCGGATGGCCGCCATTTAGCCTTCACCATCCGGTTTGATGAGGGGGAAACTAGTACTAGTAAGCTTAGAGTATGGGTGGCCCAAGTTGAAACAGGGATTGCTAGACCTTTGTTTAAGTCTGAAGAAATATTTTTGAATGCTATGTTTGACAATTTTGTTTGGGTGAATGACTCCTCCTTGGTAGTTTGCACCATTCCCCAGTCTCGTGGAGAACCGCCAAAGAAACCTTTGGTTCCCTTTGGGCCTAAAATTCAATCTAACGAGCAGAAAAACACTATCCAAGTTAGGACCTTTCAGGATTTGCTGAAGGATGAGTATGATGAAGATTTGTTTGACTACTACACCACATCACAACTTGTTTTGGCCTCCTTGGATGGGGCGGTGAAGGAAATTGGTCCTCCAGCTGTATATACATCAATGAACCCCTCTCCCGATCAGAAATACCTTTTAATTAGTTCAATTCACAGACCATACTCTTTCATTGTACCGTGCGGAAGATTTCCCAAGAAGGTGGATGTGTGGACAGCTGATGGGAAGTTTGTTAGAGAACTTTGTGATCTGCCGCTTGCTGAGGACATCCCTATTGCATTCAGTAGTGTGCGAAAAGGGAAGCGTTCTATCAACTGGAGAGCGGATAAACCATCAACACTCTACTGGCATGCATTTTTGGCCCTGTTTTCTAGCTGTTTGAATAACTTAAAAGAGATCTCTTTGAATTCTTATCTCTCTCACTCTCTCATGATATCATAACAAGTACTCGATAAGGATTTTTTGAGTAGTGTACATGATATGCTGTAGTAATAGTTGGTTTTCTATGCTTTTCTAATTTAAATATATTTCTAACGCATGCGCCTCAAAATGAACAAGCAGAATGACAGTCTAAACTGTGTTGTAATTCCACATTATTGTTACTAAACAATTTAAGCCTTCATCTATGATGTCTTTAGATTTTTATTTCTTAATTTTTATTTTGTCCCCACAGTCATTCACATCATCCTAAATGCATTTCTGACATGAAACAAGTTACAAAAGCAACTTCTAGTCACCATATATGGGACCTGGCCTCAGGCCAGTTCATTTTTTGTCGTGTTTCGGGCCAGGTTCTTTAAGATTTTGACATCCCCAAGCCCAAGCCTAACCCGTGGTCAGGTCTACATATGACTTGTACATGGTTGTTTGTGTATATGCTTTCAGTTACCTGATTGACTATGTGACTCTTCTAGGGTTGAGACCCAAGATGAAGGAGATGCAAAAGTGGAAGTTTCTCCACGTGATATAATTTATACACAGCCCGCTGAGCCACTAGAAGGTGAAGAGCCAACTGTCTTGCACAAAGTTGATCTTCGCTATGGGTATGAAGTTTAACTGTCACTATATTGTTTATCTTCTATTGGCATAAATGGTAAGTGTGTGCTGGGGAATTAATTAAACTTTTTTCCTATGTCTGTTTTATTGGGGTTTTTGGAAGAATGATTTTTCCAAGGGAGCTTTTTCTCCTTTCTCCAAAAGACTGCTAAGCTTAACAAGTTTCATGGTGGTCCCAACTTGCTTTTATGCATTTGAACATTTCAATTTTGCAGAGGAATTTCTTGGTCTGATGATTCACTGGCTCTAGTTTACGAGTCTTGGTACAAAACACGGAGAACAAGAACCTGGGTAATTTCTCCTGGATCAAATGATGTCAGTCCGCGCATCCTGTTTGATAGATCGTCAGAAGATATATATTCCGATCCTGGCTCTCCTATGCTGCGGAGAACTCCTGCTGGGACATATGTGTTAGCAAAAGTAAAGAAAGAAAACGAGGAAGGCGCTTATTTACTGCTGAATGGAAATGGTGCCACACCAGAGGGAAATATCCCGTTCCTCGACTTGTTTGACATGTAGGTTTTTTATAAGGTAATTTATTGTTTCCATTACCTTCTCAAGTGCTCATTTTTGTTGTGGTGGCTGAACCAAATTCTTTCAGAAATACAGGAAACAAAGAAAGAATATGGAAGAGTGACAAAGAAAAGTATTATGAGACTGTTGTTGCTTTAATGTCTGATGAAAAAGAAGGGGATCTGCCCATTGATCACTTGAAAATAGTGACTTCCAAAGAGTCAAAAACTGAAAACACTCAGTATTCTATCCTCAGCTGGCCAGAAAAGAAAGCAGTCCAAATTACAGATTTTCCTCATCCATATCCACAGCTGGCATCATTGCAGAAAGAGCTGGTCAAGTACCAGAGGAAGGATGGGGTTCAACTAACTGCAACGCTATACCTTCCACCAGGATTTGATCCATCCAGAGATGGTCCTCTTCCGTGTCTGTTCTGGTCTTATCCTGGAGAGTTCAAAAGCAAAGATGCTGCTGGACAAGTTCGTGGTTCTCCTAATGAATTTGCTGGCATAGGTCCAACTTCGGCCCTCCTCTGGCTGGCTCGAAGGCATGCATCACCTCTTCCATTTGTTTTCCTACTATGTTTTGGTTTTTTTTATTTTATAATTTAATTTAATTTTTTTTATTGCTTGTGTAATTCTTCTTTGTTTAGAACCTTTTTGGTGTTTGGATTGTTTTAAACATGCTGACCATTTTTTGTTTGCTCGAAATTGTGCAGGTTTGCTATTCTGTCTGGACCAACAATTCCTATTATTGGTGAGGGTGATGCAGAAGCAAATGACAGGTAACTTGTTTGCCGCATATGTACTCACATGGGTTTCTGCTTCCAGCCAAATTTAATTCTAATTTTCTGTATGAACTCATTGGCATTTCTGATAACATAAATCCATCGAATGGTTAACTGGGTGAAAAATGGACTAGATACTCACAACACGCTACTCATGCTTTGAAGTTTTTCAATGAATTATAATGTATATATTTTGACCAGCTATGTGGAGCAATTGGTTGCAAGCGCAGAGGCTGCTGTGGAGGAAGTTGTTCGACGAGGAGTAAGCTTCTCCATTTTGCAGTTTGAATCTTTTGAGCATGTTCCTGACTTTATAATCTTGACCTGAACCTCTTATGGTGCTACCCTAATTAAGGTGGCTCATCCAGACAAAATTGCTGTCGGGGGACATTCTTATGGGGCATTCATGACTGCAAACCTCTTGGCACATGCTCCCCATCTTTTCTCTTGTGGAATTGCACGTTCTGGTGCTTACAATAGAACACTTACTCCTTTTGGTTTTCAGGTAACTTACGAGAAGTTGATTTGAATATGTACACATGTATATCCATG